ATTACTGAACAGTTTCCTTATAGGCTACAACCTTATAGCCTTGTGCCAAGTGGTAAGCAAGGTAACATTCTAGGTTCTGGTTGGGAACAGGTATGACCCAGCAGTACAGATTAATTTCTTCCAAATTTTTCAGAAGATGATTCGCTTAATGTTGGCCTGATATTAGGGCTACTGACTGAGTTAATTTAGATTTGATTGAGCTGATTTGCATGATTTCTAGGAACATTTTCTAGAAATTTTACATTTATTTTTTTACTCAATTGATATGATCCTCTTCTCCCTTTCTTAACTTTCTTTTCAACAGTATTGACCTTTGATAACTTAATTTAATTAATTTTCTTAAAAGATAATCTAAGATTATTGCTAGACCCTCCTTTGGAACAGTATATGCCCCTACTTTACAGCTAGACCCTCCTTCGGAAAATCACTAGATTATTGTGCAGGCACATAGAATGGGACCGTTCATGGTTCTATCATCCATGTATACCAGTAAAGGCAAACGTGGTTAATTTTTCATAGGAAATGGCATTGTAGTGATTTTCCAGCACAAGTATGTCACAGTTGAGGTCGATTATGTTGAGAATATTATCCCACGTCCGGGAAGTAAAGCCTTGCACCAAATAAGATATTGGCCTCTTCACCCATTGCCTATTGATTTAGGTTGGATGCTCTAATTGAATTATGGTACCAGAGCATCCAACCCAAAACCAAATGGCGATGGGCAGAGAGGCCCAAGATCTTTTATATTGTCGTGAAAGGCATTACTTCTCCCGTGTGAGACAATACTCTCAACAGATTATAGATACACGGAACAGCGACAAATTTGAATTTTGACCACAGATGCAACACTAAAATAAATAATAAACCAGCAAATAATAAGGCTAAATGGTTTTATTTACCTTGTCCAAGCTTCATTATCGCAGCAGTTATGAAAATACTCAGCACTTTCTTAAAGACATCACCTTCAAACATGGAACTTAATTTCCCCGACCCATTCCAAGCAACAATGATCATTGCCTAAAGGAAATTATTACATAAGTCCTAAGAGTGCACAGACATAAGTACAGAAGATTAAGAAGGTTAGTAAGAAAAAATTCACCTGCAAACTCAATATATAAAAGCTCCACATTCTATCAAAACTTCTGAAAATGTGCCAAAACGAGCGTATTTCAACAAAGTTGACTTTACCAATCCATCGATCCCCATTGTGTGGTTTCTTATTCTGAAATCATAAAATTTCAGAATCAAAAACACAAACAGTTAAACCAAAGAGTAGAATGAGAAAGATAAAAGCTTATGTGATTAAAGAGTACCAAAAAAGAAAGTTGTTTTGACCTGGTTAATCTAATTCCTACTTAAACATCTATAACAGTGGTAGCTTTTGATTTTTCCTATAGAGACTTCAAGTATTCCAATAACAGATAACCTATTGATAAATTGCATCAGTAAAATTATCAGAACTGAAACTGTCGGCATTCAGATATGCTATGTTATCCATAAAACCTGAACTTGTAAGAACATGACATGCTGATTTGCGACAAACTCAAAGTGCTGTATATACAGCCGTCAACATAATTTCTGGGGGAAGATTCTATCAATGAAATCAAGAAAGTTGAACTATAAACAACAAGAGATAAATGATCCATGTCATTAACTAAGTAATTTGTAAAGTTATATTCACGCATTAAGAATGTTTGATGATGATGGTACATTGATAATCATCTAGAGTATAGCCACTCTAATTGAAACCTACGATTTAAGCTTTAAGCCCTGCAGCAATCACAAGGACCATCCAATTAGAAAAGGTAATTTGTTCAGTGGCAGGTGTTTGTGATTACC